GGCCGAGGTGGGTGGATCACTTGAGCTCAGGAGTTCAAGACCAGCCTGGACAACATGGTGAAACCCCATCTCTACAAAAAATACAAAAATTAGCCAGCCATTGGTGGTTTGAGGCTGTAGTCCCAGCAACTTGGGAGACTGAGGCTGGAGAATCACTTGAACCTGGGAAGCAGAGGTTTCAGTGAGCTGAGTTCGCACCACAGTATTCCAGCCTAGGTGACAGAATAAGACCCTAGGTGACAAAAAAAACCATGGCTGGGCGCAGTGGCTCACACCTGTAATCCCAGCACTTTGAGAGGCCAAGGCAGGCAGATCATCTGAGGTAGGGAGTTCGACACCAGCCTGGCCAATATGGTGAAACCCCATCTCTACTTAAAATACAAAAAATTAGCCGGGTGTGGCGGTGCACACCTATAATCCCAGCTACTCGGGAAACTGAGATGGGAGAATCACTTGAACCCAGGAGGCGGAGGTTGCTTACTAGCCAAGATCATGCCACTGCACTCCAGCCTGGACAACAGAGTGTGAGACTCTGTTTCAAAAAAAACAAAACAAAACAAAAAAACACACACAAAAAAACAGCCAAACAAACAAAAACAAACAAACAAAAAACCACAACGAAAACAGTTGGCGCAGTCCAGGCGCAGTGACTCACGTCTGAAATCCTCGACCTTTGGGAGGTTGAGGTGGGAGGATTTCTTGAACTCAGGAGTTTGAGACCAGCCTGGCCAACATAGGGAGACCTAAAAAAATAGAAAGATTAGTCCAGGCATGGTGGCTCATGACTGTAATCCCAGCACTTTGGGAGGCCGAGGTTGGTGGATCATTTGAGGTCAGGAGTTCAAGACCAGCCTGGCCAACATGGTGAAACTCCGTCTCTACTAAAAATACAAAAAGAAATTAGCTGGGCGGTAGTAGCACATGCCTGTAATCTCAGCTACTCGGGAGGCTGAGGCAGGAGAATTGCTTGAGCCTGGGAGGCAGAGGTTGCAGTGAGCTGAGATTGCACCACTGCACTCCAGTCTGGGTGACAGAGTGAGAGCCCGTCTCAAAAAAAAAAAAGAAAAATTAGCCAGGCATGGTGGCACAGGCCTGTGGTCGCAGCTACTCAAGAAGCTGAGGTGTGAAGATTGCTTGGGCCCAGAAGGTTGAGGCTGCAGTGAGCCATGATCGCACTATTGCACTCTAGCCTGGGTGACAGAGCGCGACCTTGTATCACACACACACACACACAAAGAAAGCCAAATAGTTGTATGGTGACAAGGACTCTAACTTCTCACATAGAGCATCCGAAACTACAAAAAGAGTCAACATTCCCCGAGAAGCGAAGGAAAGAAAGTTTGAAGAACAAATTTACTTTCTATCCCCAAACCATGAACTTGAGAGCAGGGAGAACTTGAGAGCTCTGTCAGAACCGAGTTCAATACCCAGATATTGTTTTTTTTTTTTCTTTTTTTTTTTTTTTGAGACGGAGTCTTGCTGTCGCCCAGGCTGGAGTGCAGTGGCCGGATCTCAGCTCACTGCAAGCCCCACCTCCCGGGTTCACGCCATTCTCCTGCCTCAGCCTCCCGAGTAGCTGGGACTACAGGGGCCCGCCACCTCGCCTAGCTAGTTTTTTGTATTTTTTTAATAGAGACGGGGTTTCACCATGTTAGCCAGGATGGTCTCAATCTCCTGACCTCATGATCCGCCCGTCTCAGCCTCCCAAAGTGCTGGGATTACAGGCTTGAGCCACCGCGCCCGGCTCAGTACCCAGATATTGTAAAGGTCCGATAAATATTGGCCAAATTTGTTAAAAATTCACTGAAGAACAGGCCAGGCACAGTAGTTCACGCCTGTAATCCCAGCACTTTGGGAGGCTGAGACGGGCAGATCACCTAAGGTAGGAATTTGTGACCAGCCTGGCCAACTTGGTGATACCCTGTCTCTACTAAAAATACAAAATGAGCGGGGCGTGGTGGCTCACGCCTGTAATCTCAGCACTTTGGGAGGCCGAGGCGAGCGGATCATGAGGTCAGGAGATTGAGACCATCCTGGCTGACATGGTGAAACCCCGTCTCTAATAAAAAAAAAAAATACAAAAAATTAGCCGGGCGTGATGGCAGGCACCTGTAGTCCCAGCTACTCGGGAGGCTGAGGCAGGAGAATGGCGTGAACCTGGAAGGTGGAGCTTGCAGTGAGCCGAGACAGCACCACCGCACTCCAGCCTGGGCTACAAAGCGAGACTCCGTCTCAAAAAAAAAAAAAAAAACAACAACAAAAAATTAGCCAGGCATGGGGGCACGTGCCTGTAATCCCAGCTACTCAGGAAGCTGAGGGAGGAGAATTGCTTGAACCCAGGAGGCAGAGGTTGCAGTGAGCCAAGATCGTGCCACTGCACTCCAGCCTGGGCAACAGTGTGAGAGTCCGTCACACACACACACAAAATTCATTGAAGAATAAATGCAAGCATTATCCACCTTTTACTCTACCTCTTCCTTCCTAGTACTGCTCTTTACCTGGCTTTGTAACCCCTCCCCACTACAGGGCTCTAGTGGGTACACAGTCCACACCACCAGACCCTAGTCCCATACTCAGAGACCGTCCTTCACCTTACAACAGTCCCCATTCAACAAGGCCTCATCCTCCAAAAGGACTTCAGTCCTTTCCTTTCTTTTTCTCTAATAATCACTGCAGGACCCAGACACAGTGGGCTGCCCTGTGAAGCAGATTCTACAGATTCTGGCTGGCTGACAAGTGGTGAGTGGAGATAAACGGGATGGGAGGTCTTAAAACGCCATTATTTTTCCCCATTGCAACTGGAATAAATAGTCCAAACTCCCTACTGATTGTTACCCCGATGACAAAAACAAAACTCTTTTTTTATTGAGACAGAGTCTTACTCTGTCGCCCAGGTTGGAGTGCAGGGGTGCTTGAACCCAGGCGCCTCCTGGGTTCAAATGATTCTCCTGCCTCAGCTTCCCAAGTAGCTGGGACCATAGACATGCACCATCACGTCCAGCAAATTTTCGTATTTTTAGTAGAGATGGGGTTTTGCCATGTTGGCCAGGCTGGTCTCGAACTCTTGACCTCAGGTGATCTGCCTACCTTGGCCTCCCAAAGTGCAAGGATTACAGGCATCAGTCACTGTGCCTGGCTGAAAAAACAAAACTCTTTACTGAGACTCATAGGCCCCATGTAATTGGGTTCTAGCTTCCCTTTATTAACACTATTTTTTTTTGTTGTTCAGATAGAATCTTGCTCTGTCACCCAGGCTGGAGTGCAGTGGTGTGATCTCGGCTCACTGCAGCCTCCGCCTCCCAGGTTCCAGTGATTCTCCTGCCTCAGCCTCCCAGGTAGTTGGGATTATAGGCGTGCACCACTATGCCCAGCTAATTTTTGTATTTTTAGTAGAGACTGGGTTTCACCATGTTGGCCAGGCTGGTCTTGAACCCCTGACCTCGTGATCCACCCACCTCAGCCTCTCAAAGTGTTGGGATTACAGGTGTGAGCCACCGTACCTGGCCCCAGCCTCCCTTTAAACTCAACTCTTTCCCCCCCTGGCTAGGAACTTTCTCTTCCAAGCCAGGCTCCGCTTTTTATATCCTCTTTTCCACCTCAGGGGCTCTGAAGGTGCTGTCCTCTCCACAGATGTTCTTCTCCATCTGGCTTCCTACAGCATGCAACCCCTATCCCTACAGCTTTTATTGCCATTTATTTTATTTTTTTCTTTTCTCAGATTGGTGCAGGGAGGTCTCACTATGTTGCCCAGCCCAGGCTCGTCTCAAACTCCTGGACTCAAGTGATCCTCCCACTGGTAGGCAGCTGGGATTACCTACCTATGCCTGGCTTATACTTTTTTGCTTTTGTTTGAGATATTGTCTAGCTCTGTCACCCAGGCTGGAGTGCAATGGCTTGATTCGGCTCACTGCAGCTTCAGCCTCCTAAGTAGCTGGGACTACAGGCTTGTGTAATTTTTTAGTTTTATTTTTGGTAGAGACGAAGTCTTACTACATGGTTCAGGTTGGTCTCGAACTCCTGAGCTCAAGCAATCCTCCTGCCTCAGCCTCCTAAAGTGCTGTGATTACAGATGTGAGCCACTCCACCCAGTCCTATTTTTTGCTATTTACTTTCCCTCCCCTAAATCATGAACTCAGGGACTGTCAACACCCGGTTCCTTATGCAGTTACTGTAGGGATTCAATAAAAATTTGCTGAATTCATTAAAAAGAAAATAGGTCTTCCATCTCCACCCACTCCACTAACCCTTTTCCCAAAAGTTCTGGATGGTTCCCACACCAAGTTACCCCAATTCAATTCTTCAATCTCCTGCAGAGACATTCCTGAGTCCCATTCCCCACCACTCACTCTCCATCATCTGTCCTGGAAACTTCCCACCCACAAGCCGGGCTTGGTGGCTGGGGCCTGTAATCCCAGCACTTTGGGAGGCCGAGGCGGAATAACTGCTTGAGCCCAGGAGTTCAAGCAACTATAGTGAGACCCCCCGTCTCTACAAAATATACAAAAAAATTAGCCGGGCGTGGTGGCACGTGCACCTGTGGTCCCAGCCACTCAGGAGGCTGAGGCAGGAGGATCAACTGAGCCGGGGAGGTGGAGGCTGCAGTGAGCCATGATCACGCCACTGCACTCTAGCCTGGGCGACAGAGCGAGACCGTGTCAAACAACAACAAAAAACTTCCCACCTGCAGAAGTCCCATTAACGTACCCATTTAGTCATTCACTCGTCAAAAGTACCCTACGTGCCCATTTCTCAGCCCTACTCCCTAAACCCAACATTCTCACCCCAAGATGAACTGTTGAAAATCCTTCACGCCACTGCTCAGCCCCATAAGGCCCGTCCAGCCCGTTCCCTTTGAACCCCATATATCCCTTCGTCCTCGGGACCCCCCTCCAGCCCTCCTCAAGCGTCCCTAGTCAGTCTGCCCTCCCCGCCCTGTCCCCTCTGTCCGCCACCCTCACTGCCACGACCCTGCGTGGCCCCGCCGAGCCCGCGGGCAGCACCTGGCCTGCGCCTCGTCCAGGCTTTGGTCGGTGATGGCCATGATCTGCTGCAGGACGTCGCTCGTGTCGGGCCGCCGCGGGCGGCGCGGGGCGGGGGGCGATGGCGCGGGGCGCTGCGTGGCGGCCATGAGCAGCAGGGCCAGGCGGGCGCTGTGAAGGAGCCGTCGAGCCTGGAGCACTAGCACGCGAGCCGCAGCCAACCGCCGCTGCCTGCGCTCCACGCCAGCCAGCGCTCGCGCCTAAGCCACGCCCACCGCCGATGCCGCCAGCCAACCCGTGTATTGCACTGCCTACAGACACGCCCCTTCATCGCCGTCAGCCAACCGGCGCCACGCACCGCCCCGGGAGACGCCCCGAACTTCCCTCACCCCGGGCTTGGACTCGGTTAGCGGTTGCCGAGGCAACGGCACTTCTCACAAGCGCCCTCCTCCAGCCTGAGACAGGGCAGCGCTGGCTCCGCTCCAGCCAGAGGCCCCCATCCCTCACAACTCCCGCGGTGCACGCCTCCTTCAGCCCCACTCATCTCCTCAGAGTTCCTGCTCCTCCTCAGAGCCCCCTGCTCCTCCTCAAAGCCCTCGGTCCTCAGAGACCCTCACTCCCCAGAGCACCCCAACTCTTCCTTCAAGCCACCCTCTCCTCCTCAGAACCCCACACCTCTTATAGCTTGATCGACAACCCCCATTCATTTCCAGAAGCCCCAAGCCCCAGACCCCTGCTCAGTCCCTCTAATGGTCCCTGCAGCCTCAGCCCCATCAGGTGGGCCACTGGGGCCCCTGGCTCTTCCTCTAGAGCTTTCCACGCCCCCTTCACCCGGCCAAGGGAGCGCAGGTGTGCATGGTTGATGGCAACAAGGAGGTCAGAACGCAGCGCTTTTCTCCACTGAAGAAATCAATTCCAGTCACCTTTCAAGATCCAGCTAAAGAGTGACCTCGCTTGTTTATTCATCTTCGCAGTCTACAGTTCTGGGCATAGAAAATGCTACCACGTGGTTACCGAATGAAGGAAGGAGGTTTACTGAGAGCCTCCCCTGTAGTGCGCCCCAAATCAGAGCGAATCCTCATATCTTTGTTTCTAGCCCTTAGGACACAGCATCAGAGGTTCCTAGTGCACAAGAAAAGGAACTGGGCGGTGGCTCACGCCTGTAATCTAGCACTTTGGATGGCGGAGGCGGGAGGATCACTTGAGTTTGAGACCAGTTTGGGCAACACAGTGAGACCCCGTGGTGGTGCACGCCTGTGGTCCCAGCTACTTGGGACTTGAGAGGCTGCAGTGAGAGGATCACTTGGGCCTGCGAATTTGAGGCTGCAGTGAGCCATGATTGTACCACTGCACTCCAGCCTGGTTGACAGAGACTAGGTCTCAAAAAAAAAAAAAGGAATGGACTGGACATGAATCGCTTCTCCAAAGTCACAGAACCTCCTGGAGCCTATTTGCTATGAGGACAGGCTCCAGATGTGGGCTCAGTAAAAGGTCCTTAGCCTGCTGGCTGGGAACCCTTCCAGGGTGGGGCCCATGTTCTCTCCATTGCTGCTGGGGAGGAAATTCAAACACTATCTGGTATGGCTGGATTGGAGAGCGTCCGGAGACTCCAAAGGGGACGGTAGGGAGTGAAAATGAAAGACATTGACTGAGTGTCTGGACAATAGGGAAAGCTCTGTGATGAAGGAAACCACCGACACTTGGCTGCAATGACAGGAAGTAATAGATTGCATGGGAGCCACGGAGACCAGTGCCTGTTCAAAAGGTCACCCGCAAGCACAGCACTGCCCAGGAGGCCTGAACAGTAGTGGCCTTCAGGCTGGGCGCAGTGGCTGACACCCGTGACCCCAACACTTTGGGAGTCTGAGGTGGGAGATTACTTGAGCCCAGGAGTTCGAGACCAGTCTGGGGAACATAGTGAGACCCCATCTTTACAAAAATAAAAATTAAAAAATTAGCTAAATTAGCTGGTCATGGTCCCAGCTACTTGGGAGGCTGAGGCGGGAGGATAAGTTGGACCCAGGAGGTTGAGGCTACAGTGAGCTATGTTTATGCCACTGCACTCCAGCCTGGAAGAGAGAGCAAAACCCTGCCCCCAACCCCAAAAAAGTAGTACCTTCAGAGAACTTGGAGGGCTGTGGGCACTGGAAGCTTCAGGAACCAGCAGAGACAAAAATTTGAAGCCGGCTGGGCGCTGTGGCTCAAGCCTGTAATCCCAGCACTTTGGGAGGCCGAGACGGGCGGATCACGAGGTCAGGAGATCGAGACCATCCTGGCTAACATGGTGAAACCCTGTCTCTACTAAAAAAACACAAAAAACTAGCCGGGCGAGGTGGCGGGCGCCTGTAGTCCCAGCTACTTGGGAGGCTGAGGCAGGAGAATGGCGTGAACCCGGGAGGCAGAGCTTGCAGTGAGCTGAGATCCGGCCACTGCACTCCAGCCTGGGTAACAGAGTGAGACTCCGTCTCCAAAAAAAAAAAAACAAAAACAAAAACAAAAAGAAAATTTGATGCCACTTGGTAGAGAGGGGAGATCGACAAGAGGAAATGGGACAAGGTCTTGAAGGAGATCCACGGGGTGCAGGTTAAAACCTGGAGGAGCTGATGTGAACAGCTAGCTCAGAAAGCCTGAGATAGAGTTGCCTTTTTTTTCTTTCTTTCTTTTTTTTTCTTTTTTGTTGAGACAGAAGTCTTACTCTGTCACCTAGGCTGCAGTGCAGTGGTGCGACCTTGGCTCACTGCAACCTCCGCCTCCCGGGTTCAAGCAATTCTCCTGCCTCAGCCTCCTGAGTAGCTTACGGGCACCCGCCACCACGCCTGGCTAATTTTTGTATTTTTAGTAGAAATGAGGTTTCACCATGTTGGCCAAGCTAGTTTCAAACTTCTGACCTCAGGTGATCAGCCTGCCGCGGCTTCCCAAAGTGCTGGGATTACAGGCATGAGCCACCTCGCCCGTCCCATAGTTGCCTTTTGGAGGTCATCGGGGGTCTCTACTGCATAGAAATTAGTTGGCAGCCTTGGTACTCAAAGTGCTCGGCCAGGCCCAGTTAATATAGAAGGACCTGGGAGTTTTGGGTTCTTTGACAATGCGTATTTTAGTGGTTTAAGAATTTGGCACAGGTGGCCGGGTGTGGTGGCTCATGTGTGAGTAACCTGGGTTCAAATTCTAGCTGTTATTCAGCATGGGACTCATAAGTAGGGACATAACCCCACCTCCTCACTGGTGAGGTGGGAGCAGAGAATGAGATCCTGGCAAACACTGTGCCTTGGAGGGGGCTTCCCTGAGCATCTCAGAGGGGGACGCATCACGGGTCTAGCACTCGTGGGTTGGGTGCTATGGGGTGAGGTAGGGAAAGCCCAGCTGAGCTTGGGACCAACTCTGGGCTTTGTGGGAATCTGAAGTCCCTTTCCCAGGGGCCTCTCTGATCCCTCGGGGAATGTATATGCCCTCTCCAAGCTGTTAACCATGGGCCAGAACACAACATGTCTGAGTCAGTGTTCTCACATAAAAATCAGTAAGACTGGCCAGGCATGGTGACTCACACCTGTAATCCCAGCACTTTGGGAGGCCAAAGCGGGCAGATCATGAGGTCAGGGGTTCAAGACCAGCCTGGCCAGTATGGTGAAATCCCATCTCTACTAAAATACAAAAAATTAGCCAGGCATGGTGGTGCATGCCTGTAGTCCCAGGTATTTGGGAGGCTGAGGCAGGAGAATCGCTCGAACCTCGGGTGGGCGGAGGTTGCAGTGAGCTGAGATCATGCAAGACTCTGTCTCAAAAAAAAAAAAAAAAAGGGCCAGGCACGGTGGCTCATGCCTATAATCCCAGCACTTTGGGAGGCTGAGGCGGGCGAACCACCTGAGGTCAGGAGTTTGAGACCAGCCTGGCCAACATGGTGAAACCCCATCTCTACAAAAGTACAAAAAATTAGCCAGGCATGATGCTGGGTGCCTGTAATCCCGGCTACTTGGGAGGCTAAGGTGGAAGAATCACTTGAACCTGGGAGGTGGAGGTTGCAGTGAGCCAAGATTGTGTCATTGCACTCCAGCTTGGGCGAGGGAGAACAAGACTCTGTCTCCAAAAAAAAAAAAAAAAAAAAAAAAAAAGAGCCTGGTGCGGTGGCTCACACTTGTAATCCCAGCACTTTGGGAGGCTAAGGCCAGTGGATCACGAGGTCAGGAGGCCTGGCCAATATGGTGAAACCCTGTCTCTACTAAAAATACAAAAATTAGCCCGGGGCATGGTGGTGCACACCTGTAGTCCCAGCTACTCTGGAGGCTGAGGCAGAAGAATTGCTTGAACCCAGGAGGTGGAGGTTGCAGTGGGCCAAGATAGGGCCATAAGATGCAGGTGATTAAATAATAAGGAATCTAAGGCTGGGCATGGTGGCTCACAGCTGTAATCCCAGCACTTTGGGAGGCTGAGGTGGCAGATTACCTGAGGTCAGGAGTTCAAGACCAGCCTGGCCAACATGGTGAAACCGTGAAACCCCATCTCTACTAAAAATAAAAATTAGCTGGGTGTGGTGGGCGCCTGTAATCCCAGCTACTCGGGAGGCTGATGCAGGAGAATCACTTGAACCTGGGAGGCAGAGGTTGCAGTGAGCCGAGACTGCACCATTGCACTCCAGCCTGGGCAACAGAGCAAGACTCTACCTCAAAAAAAAAAAAAAAAAAAAAAAAAAAGGCCCAGCACAGTGGCTCATGCTTGTAATCCCAGCACTTTGAGAGGCCGAGGAGGGTGGATTACGAGGTCGGGAGTTCAAGACCAGCCTGGCCAAGACGGTGAAACCCCGTCTCTACCAAAAATACAAAAATTAGCCAGGCACAGTGGCAGGCGCCTATAATCCCAGCTACTCAGGAGGCTGAGGCAGGAGAATCGCTTGAACCTGGGGGGCAGAGGTTGCAATGAGCCGAGATCGCACACTGCACTCCAGCCTGGAGGACAGAGTCAGACTCCATCTCAAAAAAAAAAATTTAAAATAAAGCACCTAAAGTGCTTACCAGTGTGCCAGGTACATCAGAGGAGCTTGAGAAATGGTAATGCTCAAATCCTGCATCCCACTACCTGAACCCCACAACCTGTGGCTGGAAGTGTGAATGCAGGTCGTGGGCAATGGGATAGAAATGGCTGGGCACATGACCTTGAACCATCAGGGCTCAAACAAAAGGGCAGTGGGGAGGGAGGGGGCTCATAGGGTCCAGACACTACCCTGAGCTGCAGAGAAAGGCAGGTAGACAGGCAGTGAGATGGAGGCAGAGCAACAGACAGGGGAAACAAAGAACAGAGGTAGAGGGGAACAGATGCAAGACCCCAGTAAGAGAGAGGGGCTGGGCGTGGTGGCTCACGCCTATAATCCCAGCACTTTGGGCGGCCAAGGTGGATGGGTGGATCTCTTGAGGTCAAGAGTTCGAGACCAGCCTGACCAACATGGTGGGACCCCACCTCTATTAAAAATATAAACATTAGCCAGGCATGCGGTGGCTCACACCTGTAATCCCAGCACTTTGGGAGGCTGAGGTGGGTGGATCATTCAAGGTCAGGAGTTCAAGACCAGCCTGGCCAACATGGTGAAATACCATCTCTACTATAATACAAAAATTAGCCGAGTGTGGTGGCAGATGCCTGTAACCCAGCTACTTGGGAAGCTGAGGCAGGAGAATCGCTTGAACCCAGGAGGCAGAAGTTGCAGTGAGCCGAGATCAAGCCACTGCACTCCAGCCTGGGCGACAGAGTGAGGCTCCCTCTCAAAAACAAACAAACAAACAAATAAATAATAATAAAAATACAAATACAGAAATTAGCTGGACGTGGTGGCATGTACCTGTAATCCCAGCTTCCCCTGAAGCACGAGAATCTGGAACCCGGGAGGTGGAGGTTGCAGTGAGCTGAGATTGTGCTATTGCTCTCCAGCCTGGGCTACAAAGTGAGACTCTATCTAAAAAAAAAAAAAAGAGAGCGAGAGTAACAGCCAGCCAGACTGACGAAGACGGAGCACAGGGCCAAGGAGATACCATGTTGAAGGATCCTTGCTGGACCTGGGCCAAGGTAGACAATTCCCGGACACATGGGGAGATACACTGTCTGAATTGATAACAACAAATGTTTTGGAGACCTCAGAGTGAAAAGAAAGGTTTACTCCTTGTATCATCCCCTCCCAGGGGACTGCTTCAATTCTAACAGAGACAGGCCAGCCCCTGGAGGCT